CCTCTTCATGGCTATAGGAAAGGGAGACTATGGTTAAATGGGAAGAAGAGACTTTGAGGGTCATGTAGTACTAATATCCCTGCAGGAAGGAAGGTCCTGTGGCTACACTGACTTTACACTCATTGTGTGCAGATGCCGTTCCAGGTACTTTCCAAATAGCAACTAATTTAATCCTCTTGGCAGCCTTCCTAGGGAAATGACATTATTATAATTTTACATTTGAGGAAACTAAGCACAGAGAGGTTAAGGAACTTGCCCAAGGTCACACAGCTAGTAAGGGACAGAGTGAGATGTATATTCAGACCATGTGTCTTTAAAGCTTCCCCTCACCTGCTTGTCATTCTTGGGGACATCCTTCTGAAGAGGACTTTTTGCTGCTTGGAAAGCAGCTTTCCAAGGACCCAGCTCCCAGACCTCCCACTCCCTACTCTTGCAGATTCTCCGTCCCTGCCCTTGACTCCTAACCCTATTCTTGCTCATATGCCTTGCTCCTTCCTGTACACTCATCCGCCTCACGGCCAGCTGTCACTTTCCAGCACCTCATCTTAACATCAGCCTGTGCCTGAGGCCATCTGCACCCCCACGCACGCTCGGGGCAGCTGCTGCCTGGAGGGGGGCTCCCCTTCCCAAAGAGGCCTCCCTGAAAATCTATGGACAGAAAGTTCATAATATAGCTCCTAAGTCTCTCTTTTAATCTGTCCCTTTTCTAAGAGCTGGTTTTGTTACTCCAGATGAAGACACAGATAGGTGAGTCCTTTTACAAAGAATAGCCCTGTGCAAGTGTGATCCGTTTAAGCAAGACTGCTTGTAGGCTCTCCCATTAAAAGCAGGCTTAGCTTTGCCTACAGTAAACCAAAGGGAAAAAATAAGAACTAGCTATGTAAGTTGCCTTTATCTTTTACTCTTTGGGTTGAAATACTCTTCAACTTAATATCTCCCAGCAGTTATTTTTGGACTTGAAATGCTTTGCGGCTTTTTCTCCTGCTTGTACAATGTGGCACCAACTGTGTCCTCACAAGTCCCCGAGAAAGTCAGAGCAGAGTGATACAGATAGCAGATCATCTCCTCAAGTTCTTTCCACTTGAATTCATCTGGCCCTGATTTGCTACAAGCTAGATTTTAGGCAACTGCATCAACTCACCCATAATCTTAGGCTCAGCTACAGCCCGGGGTCCACTGTGACCTTCTGAATGCTTTTTTGTCTTATTTGTGCCTGGCTTGTCAGGACCCGTCTTGGACTTGTGCATTCCCTAGCTTTTCTTCACTGGCTAGCTTCCCATTTATTCCTGGTCAGTGTCCCAAATTGCCAAAGTCTCTGGATCCTGGAACTGTATTTTTGGTATATATTTCATTTCTCAGTTTTGGCATTTTGCCAGTGTACAGCAATTGCTCTGTATGCATCGGTTACACATGGAGACACAGTGGGTGTTTATCTGTCTGTTAGTCCTCCTGGGCCCTGCAGGGGAAAAACCTCTGGGTTCCTCTCCTGAAATGTTTAGTGTATACTTCTCCTTTTCCCACTGTTGTTTCTGTATGGAACATGCAGTCTGGAAGATGACTTCACCTCTTGTCATCTTTTCTATGTCTTCCTTGAAGTGGGTAAGTTCCTTCTGGCTATTATTGGGTCCTTGCCACCATGGAGCCCCATTTTATGGAGCCGTAAATCACTTGAAATTGTTCTACTTTTCAAATCACTGAAGTTGCCGTTCAGCCTTAGATGGCCTGCTCTGTCCTTGCAGTTCGTGAGGATCCAATTAGAAAGGCAGCAGCTCTGCTCCTCCACCTTCTCCCCTCCCCCAGAGGCAGCTGGGATGACTTCTCCCTGGTGAATGTCAGTCCTGTGGGTTGTCTCCGAGGAATGGCATGTGTTAAGGACTTTGTGGTTTGTATCTGAGCAGTTAGGGGCTCCCTTGCAGGGGAAAGAAAGACAAGAAGATTTTCGCTTCTGCAGAGGAGAGCCTGGTGCCTGGTCCCCTGGGGGAGGCTAGGCACTGGGATAGGCTCGCAAGGAAGCAGGAATTGCAAGGCTTCAGGGGCCACTACTCCCAAGGGTGGCTATCCCTTGGGGAGAGGTTCCCAGTAGCAGAAAATTCATTATATTTGGGGAGCATTTGTTCGTGCCTCATTTATACCATCTGCATGAAGATAAACAGAAGCTGCAAGCAGGCTATCGTTCCTGGAACAGAACAGGGTCTGGCTTCCATCTCCAGGGATGGTTTAGATGGGGAAATGTATGGAAGCCTCTGCGGTATTTCTCCTGGGTTTACTGTAGGAAGGAAGAACCTGGAGGTGAATTTATGGCCTGATAACAAGCTTCTAAGCTTCCAGACAGATCCTAACCTACTTGCTGAATTTTGCTCCGCCATGACTTTGTTACTATTTGTTCATTCATTTGTTCATTGCAGCAAGTATTTCTTCATCGCCCTTTCTGGGCTACACAGGAATCTGGGCACTGGGGTCACCCGAACAACCAACCTGACTGCCATCTCCCCCTGAAGTCACCTTTCTGCTTGCCAGGGTGCGGTGTGGCTGGGCCAAGGCACAGCTTTGCGGTACCAGTGTGGGTCCTTAACGCTGGTTGCTCTCCTGTCCTCCCTGGAGGAGGATCAGGGACATGGGCAGCCCATGCAGGGTAACCCTGGAGCCGTGTCCTGGTGTGGTAGCCAAGCCCTGGTTGTGTTGCAGGCCCAGCGTTGAAGGGTAGAGGAGTGGCTCCCTCGCTAATCTTGGGTGCTGGAGGACCACAGCCTGTTAAAGAGCTCTGTGTAAAGAGGCATCGGGGGCTGTTTCTATCTGGGCCCCCACTCAGGCCACCATGGATTATTCAGGGAACTTGCTGAACCCAAATCTCTGTAGGAGGTCCTCTTCCAAGACAGTGACCCCCTACTCTGGGCCCATGTGAGAAAGCCCACCCCCAGAAGGTCCTTTCTGCTGCAGACATCCACACCTCTTGGGCCCCAGCAGAGGAAACACGCAAAGGGACAGGGTGCTAAAATCCAGATGCCAGGAATCTAGCCTCAGTTCTGTCCTTCCCTAGCTGTGTGACCTTGGGCAGGTCATTTAACTTCTCTGAGCTTCATTTTCCTCACATGCAAAATGAGGATGTGGTTTGGATGAGCACAGGGCCTCCCCCAGCTCTAGATGATCACTCACTGTGAATGAGTCTGAGGTCCTTCTCTGAGGGGACTCTGGGTGCTAAGGAGGGGTAGAAAGCACATGGGGTGTTTGGGGGGTGCCAAGGGGAACAGAGATAGAGTAGGTGGGGCTCAGATGAAAGGACCTGGGGGCACCAAAGAACTACAAGCAGAGGGAAGGATTGGCAGAGACTCTGTGTGTGTGTGTGTGTGTGCGTGTGCGCGTGCTTGCCAAGGGTGATTGGCAGGCAAACTGTCCATTCACAGACACCTTTCTTTAAACAAAATGACATTTGGTAGAAGCCTTTGTGGCTTGAGGATGCAAATCAGTCATGTGACAACTCCGCTCCACCACCACAAAGTGCAAATCTGATCAAGAACCAGGCCTAAGACTTGGCTAGGGAACCAGATGTCACTCTTGAAAATAAAATCTGGCTGTGCTCTGGCTCCCGTGGGCTCCTTATTGAGTCTCTCTCTTGAATGCTAGACCTGAGGACCTGAAGGAGGAGAGGGGATGGGGATTCATGTGCTAGAGCCACTTCCGTGTGAGGACAGCATGACCGTATGAACAGGTTAACTGTACCACAGAGAGGCATGGCCTGCAGGACATCACGGCCCCCCTTCTCCACGGAAGGTACCAGGTCAAGATGAAAGGCTAGGTCACAGGTTTCCCCTGGGGATCTCTAGGACAGTGAGGTTTTGATTTTTGTGGCTCTGTGCTGACAGGAAGAGGGAGAAATGATTTATTTTGCAGTACTGGAATACATGAGTAATATAGGATGCTCCTCACAAGGGTACTTTCAAGCTGTTCCCGCCTGCCCTCCTCATACCTGGCTGGCCCCTGCTGGCTTGGAGGAGCTGCTCAGCAAGTGCATGGATGGGTGAGTGGGTGGGTGGATAGGCAGGAGTCTTTTGAGGGACTGGATTTGTCTGGATTTATTGGCACACAAGCTTTCTTGTCTTTTCTTTCACAGTCATCTGTGCTTTGAGAGCAATGGCCAGCTTTTGCCCATGAGTTTCCCCCAGTGAAGGGAGGGAACAAGTAAGAATTCCGATGAGGTTGACCTGTCTCATTTATGCCCTTCTTTGTGCTTGTGCTTGTCTCCTCTGGTAAACCTCTTTGGTCTAGCAGAGCTGGAGTACGTGTTTGCTGTGAGAATTTAGAGGCTGTGGAGAATTTTCTGGTGCTGGGTTCCACTGGGAAAGCACATGCTAATTAATTCCATCTCCTTTGCCTCAGTGTCTTCCTCACAGACACCACACTCTCTCTCTCTCTGTCTCTCTCTCACGCTCACCTTTAACTTGGATTTGCTTCATCCCATATTCAAGGAGTCTTGACAAGTATGCCGAATAGGATGTGTGATTTGAGGGGAGGCACCACGCCAGATCAAAAATAGCTCCCTCTCCAACAGGTACAAAGGTGCTTGCGACTGCACCACTAGTGTCAATCTCTTCAGAGGCATGCAGTGCCATCTAAATCCCAGCCCCACGGCTTTTAACTGTGTGGGGCCTTGAATGAGTTGTCTTCTAAGTCCACCTTCTTCCTCCAATGCGAGGGGCCCTAGGCCAGGATAATGGGGCAGGTGAAAGGATCATCAAGGGTTCTGGCACAGACCCCTGATGAGTACATGTTGCCCGTGCTTGGGTTAAACCTTGCCAAGGGCAGGGTGGGGGGCAATCCCAGTGTGCAGAGATGGGTGACTGGTGAAAATGGATTGAGTTTTCCTCCATCACGGTAAGGACCTATGGGCAGGAAGAGCCCCTGGAAGAGGAACATTGGCAAAAGAGGGGACAGGTCCTGGCAAGGTGTGGAGCTCCTGGCCTCAAAGCTGATTGTCCTGCACTGCCTTCTCTCGCCCGCTCCAGGCTGGCTTGTTGCTCCTTCTGCTATGATGCCTGGCCAGATCCCAGACCCTTCTGTGACCGCAGGCTCTCTGCCAGGGCTCGGCCCCCTCACCGGACTCCCCAGCTCAGCTCTGACTGCGGAGGAGCTGAAGTACGCTGACATCCGCAACATTGGGGCCATGATTGCACCCTTGCACTTCCTGGAGGTGAAACTGGGCAAGAGGCCCCAACCTGTGAAAAGCGAGGTGAGTGCACCCTGTTACTCCAGAGTCTTAGGACTGGCGCTAAACTCGACAGGCTTTGGATCTCTGGGCTTGCTGTTCAAAATGTGGTATGAAGACCGGTAGTGTAAAGAGGAGTTAGGGGCTCCACCCCAGACTTGAATATGAACTTTAACCAGCTCGCCTGGGAATTTATGGACACATTCAAGGCTAGGTCAGGAGGCTTGACCTGTCTCTGCTTCTTTAAGAGACAAGGGAAGAGTGCTAATGCTAATGAATAATAATGTATTGGCAGTCTCTCGGGTGTTAGATGGGCAGAGATACTGGAAATGTGTGCATATTTTGAAAAGTGTAGAGGAGAATGCTCATATTGAGTTATCCTTAGCAGTTATTATCACGCTGGGCACAGTGGCACATGCTTGTAATCCCAGCACTTGGGAGGCTGAGACAGGAGGATAGCCATGAATGAGTTCATGGCCAGCCTGTACTACCAAGCAAGAATCTGTCTCAAAAAAAAAAAAAATATTGTCATTAGTCACACCATTGCCTTCACCTCTTTTGGGCCCAGTTTGGGGTTAAACAAGGGAAGTTTGGAGATGGGTGGTGTGGCTTCCCTTATCTAGCAGCTGCCAGAGCTAGGCATGGATCAGTCTTCAGCATTGTCTGCCTGAGATAGGGTTTGCAAAGCGCACGCACGCACGCACACAAACACACACACACACACACACACACACACACACACACAGCACCATGTGCCACCACCCCAGTCCCTTGCACCTGCAGTTCTCACAACTTTACATGCAGAAGGGCAGCTTTTCCCAGGGGACTGGTGAGAAGCAGAAGTCCCCGACATGGCTGAGCACCAGGGTGTCCGTACACGCTGGCCACCTACCTGGAGCTTGTGATTTGCCCAAACGTTTTCCCTGGTGACTGCCCCAGCAGGGCCATTTCTTCCGAGGCCTGGCAGAGCTGCCACCAGCTGGAAGGAGCCAGTGAGGGGACGTGGGCAGGGGATGGGGTATCTCTGAGTATCAGGCGTGCGGGGCTCTGTCCACGGGGAGTGTTCACAGGACAAGACGGGCCTAGCTCCCCTAGATTGGAGCTTGGTGGCCCCGGAGTCAGGAGAGGGACTCCCAAGTATAGAGTGGTGGTGGGGGGGGGTGCAGCTATGCAACTATGCAACTATGACTCAGCTCCTCTCTCCTCTGAGCAGCGTAAAAACTGCAAAGAAAGGATTCTGGGGCCTGGCTATGGGTGGTAAGTTGGTCGTTTGTGGGCTGGGTCTGGCTTTCAGATATGTTTTGTTTGGCCTGCACAGTATTTAAAAAGCAATTTGAGCCGACATTACACTTAAATATTGCAATTAAAAAATGGGAAGATCTGGTCACATGCTGCCCTGCTTAGGCATGGCAATTACTATACTAAATGAAGTGGAGAAGCCTCCTCACTTTTTCCTTTCCCCGCTTTGCCACCAGTCCCTCCACTTCCCTGTTGCTTGGCCTTGATTATGCTGTTGGTTTTGCATTTGTCACTGCCACTGCCTTCATCTTCCTCCAGTGCCTGGTCCTTCCTGTGGCCCTTTGTGCTTGAGACATCTTCATTAGGTACACAGTAGGTGCCTAGTAAAGACTGTTGATTACAAGGTGAGCATAGTCTGTGATTAGATTCTTCCAGATGGACTATTGTGCTGTTGACAGCATTTCCTGGCTTAGTGTACTGTTTTTCTCACCAAGGATCCTTGTCTTTGGCTGCTACTAGTTTCTTTCCCAGCTCCGTAACCTCGAAGTCTGTTTCTGGACCATTCCACAGTGAAATTGCCATCATGAGCCCATAGCTGAGCAGTAACCCTGGGCCCCAAGGCCGTGAGTGGGTTGATGAAGCCAGATGCCTCGGGCAGGGGTTGGCCCAGCTGGCTTTTGCATGGAGGATTGAGTTCCACCTCCCTTAAAAAGGCCCTGGAAGAGCTTCCCCCTTTTTTCGAAGAAGGCCTTTATTTGGGGTTGGGTATTTGTACATTTCACAGCCATCCCCAAACTGGTGGCATATGCCCTGTACCTGATAGTGACGTGCTGTCCTCACAGGCACCTGCAAGTGGGTACCATCCAGGCCTTGAACATAACAAGCCGTTTTTAGGGCATATTTGCATGTCGTCTCACTCGCTCGCTGTCAGACTGCAGCACTGCAGGGTCAATGTGCCTCTTGGAGCCACAGTCCAGCTCTGTGCTGAGAATTCACCTCCCACCTTGTCCTTGTCCCATCTCGGGGATGGGGCTAACCCTTGGAGAAACTAAAACCCAGAGTGGGTGGGGAGAGGAACCTGCAGCTGTCGATGCTGTGTTCTATTTGCATATGGCACGCTGCCTTTAGTGGATTTTCACATTGACATTTCAGACTAGTAGAAGTTTCTTCACTAATAATAAGGCACTAGCTCACATTGAGTACTTGACACACATGATCTCATTTATTTCTTACTCGATCCTGGTGACTAGGCTATCCCTGCATTAGAGGAGAGGAATTTAAGGTCTAGCAAGGGGGTTGAGGGACTCAGGTCATGCTGCTGTGCTGTTGGGGCCTGGATGATGATGGCAGTGCTGTTGCTGTCCAAGCCGTATGGCCCTTGCCCTGAGCTTTGGCCAGGCAGGCAGGCACAGTACTAGACACTTATCTCTCACAGGAACCCTTTGAAGTCACCATGGTAACTTTTCCAGTCACATTACAGATGAGGTCCACAAAAGTAGGTGAGGGACCTAAGCAGTCAGAATTCAGCACCAAAGCTTTTGCTTTTCGCTGTGCTTCCTCTGTGTTCATTCTTTCCCTTCCAGGCCACCAGCCTGGAAGAGCTCTTGTGGGGCTGGGGAGGCCAGAGGAAGCTGGACACAGAACACTTGACCATTTCAGTGACAGCCCAGTTAGCAGCAAGCCCTTCAGTTCTGCAGCCTAGTTGTCCTCTAGGCTCCAAGAGGGAACAGGCCAAGCGACAGGTGCCTGTGGTTCTGGGAGCTGCCTCTTGCTCAGGCTGCCTGCTTTCAGAAGCTGCGCATCTGCTGGGCCATTTCCAAATGCATGGAGAGTTCATTAAAAGAAAATCAGAGGAATTAAGTTAACAGGTTGGTGGATTACAGAGTGCTTTGTGCTGATGTCTGTATCTGGTTGACATAATGTCCTGACCAATAAACGGGCATTAAACATACAAACCATGTAAGGAAACGCATGGTCTGATAGATGTAAAAAGAAATTTAGGATCTCTGCACCTGCCCTTGTTTTTAGTTCCTAAGCCAAGAACACAATCGCAAAAATAGGAGGATGACACAGACAGCATGAAGAGGGCCAGGTGCAAGATGGCAGGAGTAGCAGGGACGGTGGTGAAATGAGGACCGCGTGGCATACAGAGGGCATCCTCAGCTCCAGCCTCGAGCTGCACATAGGCGTGTGGGCTGCAGTGGCTAGATGGTCTAGCTTTTCAAAGAAACTTTAAATAGAGCAACTCATTCAACTAAAAAAAGGGAGAAAAGAAGGAAGAAAACAGAGAAGAAACAAGGGAGAGAGGACAGAAGGAAGGGATGGAAAAGTGGGAGAGGGAAGGACAGAAAGAAGGAAGGAAGAAGTGAAGGAATGAAAGGAAGGGAAGGGAAGGGAAGCCACAGAAGATTCGTGTGCAGGCTGACACCTGGCCCTGGAGTGATCGTTTACAGCCGCTTTCCTGAAAAGTCACCCAGTCCGTCCTCCTTTGGATGCTTCGGCCCCCTCCTGAGCAGTCGGGAGTGGTGGAGGAGATGAGGGTCCTGTCCACCAGGTTGGGTGAACGCTCAGTGGGCAGCTGAGTGTGCGAGCATGGAGCTGCTGGCCTCCTTCCTGTCCCCTCTGAAATCCACTCCAGGTTTTGAGGCACAGTGTGTCCACCGCAGCCAACGCAGCAGACGACCCGGGCAGGGCCAAGGTCCTCAGGCCAGTAGAGACGGGATGGTTGAGCGGTCTAGATGTCAAGGGTTGCAGGACAATGAAAGAAGAGAAGGTCTGGAGAAATCCAGAGAGCAAAGGTGTCTTAAAAAGGAATATTGGAAAAAAAAGAAGAGGAAGAGTCCAGAATGAGTACAGCAATACAATTCATAAGAGATAAATCTTAGTATTGGGCTATATGTCCACCAACAGGTGAAAGGATAAAGAAAATGTGACCTTTATATACCGTGGAGTACTAGTCTGCCATAAAAAAGAAAAATGTAGAAAAACTGATGTATTGTACCCTGAGACCATAATGTTAATGAAATAAATAAGAGTCGCAAGCTTAAATATTGCATGGTTTTTCTAACATGAGAAACCCAAATACATACATATATGTGTGTGTGTGAGTGTGTGTGTCTGTGTGTGTGTGTGTGTGTGTAGAGAGAGAGGGCGCACCAAATTAAAGATACATAATAAAGAAAAAGGAGATAGGTCCTTTGAAAAGGGGAGGGGACCAAGAGGCGGAGGAGAGGGATGGGGATGAAAAGAAAGAATCAAGATGTGTTATGCACATGTACCAACTCTCCATGACGAATGTACCCACTGCAAACATGTCCTAACACAAAAATAAAATAAAAACTGAAGAAAAGGCAATACAAGTTCCATTACCCAGCACGTCCCCAGAAGCCCTGCCAGCCTTCAGGACAGCAGCTTGCCACTGTCCATCCTGGCAGACTGCTTAATTTCTCTTCAGACCACCACTCGACCTTTTATATTATATATTAATTGGTTCTTTTTTACCGGCTCTCACAACAATATATAGTTTCAAGAGAGGGAGGATTTGATCTGCTTTGCTTCTGATTCAGGCCTAGTGCTTGGCACATAGTAGACACTAGGCAAGCAGTTGCCATCAAACCAGTTTAACATTATGTCAACTTGGCAGGTCACTTAGATTTTCTGTCTCTTGATTGCTCTGTCTTCCACTTCTTACCTTGTTCTTCTCCCCCACCTTTTATTGAGTTTATTGGTACAATCTAGGTGTACAATACAGTTACATTCATTACTGGGATCCTGTAGCTTCACAT